AAGAGAGCGAGAGAGCGAGAGAGACTGTGTGTGACAGCGTGGGTTTATCGGGGAGAAAAGAAGGTGGTAAATAGGAAAAACTCATGAGTGCGTGTGTGGATGTGAGGGCGGGGGGAGTGTTGCCGTTGTGACATTGTCCGTGTGGTGTCTCTTTTCAACCCCCTTCCTATATATTAACCCTATCATTTAATACGTATTTCTACCTTAGGTTTCTTTTTTGGGACACGTAACAAACGATCAGCCGGGTGGTAGGGAGGATGACTAGGCGTCCCACACCCCTGAAAGTGTATTTTACTGAACGTCTGTTCCATATTTTAAGCATTTAGCTAGAGTCAATTAGACAAGGCGACTTTTGTTTTCTTGACAATGAAGTTAATAGTGAGTAAAAGTATCATTAAGCTGTTCATCGAATGACAAGTTGAATTATTTAAAACATTTTTATTATCCATGCCGATCTATAGTTAGGTTACTTTTTTTTTTTTAATATTTCGAATGTATGGCACAATTACATGAAGGTGGAGGGACAAGAGGAGAGAATGCGTTGTAGTAGAAGTTTAAATTCACTAATTATCCCATATGATAGAATCATTCCCCTGCACTCATACATGTGAGGTGATTGATGAGAAAAAAATGATCATGCAAGTCTTAATATAGTCTGAGCCGATGAGTTATTCGTTATTCACTTTATTTATGTGCATTTTTATTTTTGAAAGGGCAGGCCACTCGACGGAAAAGTGAAAAAAAAAGAGGTTCCAGTCGACTAGGTACTTTAAATTGTACTGGATACAGACTGCGACAAGGAAAAGGAAATAACAGAGATCAGCACAAAAAAGCAAAATCATTCATTGTACTCTGCAAAGTAGTCTTGCACTGAAATCTAATGGGATGTTATAGTACACATATATTTTTATGCCTATATATATATTCAATCTAGCTGGTTCGTCTACTGAATATTGGATTTCGATGCAGAAAAATATGCTGTTAGATGTAGCTATTGTCATATGCGTGTTTTTCTCAGTCTTAAGGGAGATAGACTACATATTCTCCCCCCTTTTTTTTTGTAGTTCATCAAAGGTGGGATGCAATATAATTTTTTTTGGTATGACAGCATTTATTTCCTTTTTATCACTACTTGATTTTTAGGTATCAATTCCACTAAGGATAAGTCGTCCCAAGGTTACAGAATGAAGAAATTATCAAGTATGAAGCAAATATAGTCTAACGTGTGTACTCAACACTGCTGCGGACTTTCCAAGCAAGGTAGATAAAATCTAGAACAGCGTGCGAGATGAGTGGAGGTCAAAGGTTGAGTTTCTTGGAGTGGAGAGGGTGCACACAAGCGACCAAGGTTCCTACTTTGAGTAATTCAGGAGGGGGTCTTTTTTCTCTGCAACTTTTAGGATGAGTGATATCTAAAGGGGGCCCTCCTCCACGATGCTCTCACTGGGATTGGTTCCCTGGAGCAAGGGTGATGCGATTATACATCGTCAGGGCAGAAGCAAACAGCACTGACGTGTGGATTCTATGAGGGAGAAATGATACCTTTTAAGGAATGGAAATACAGGCTGAGTACGTTTTTCCCCTCCTTTGTAGTGCCGCCCTGTGGTGAAGTGCTTTCACATAGGAAGTAAATAAAATCACCATGCCACTGCGCTCTTATCGAACGCGGTTTTATGCTATGCCGGATGCTTGTGTAAGTTTGGTAACCACCCTATTCAACTCTTTTAATAAACAATGTGGTTATAGCGGCGCTTTGTAGTTTATCATTATGGACGTGAATTTATCCTCGCAGAAGAGGTGGTTTATCATTATTCTTGATTATCTACGTTGGAAAAAGGGCAAAACACCAGTTTATTAGTTTGCATCGATTCCCATGGGGTTGAATGTGCTCATCTCTGGAATCCATTGGTTGCTTAGTTACGTGTTATTATGACTCTTTCTTTAAGACTTATTTTTTCACATCATGCTCAAAGATTAGTTTTCACACAGCCGCTTATTGTTTCGGTCTCTTAATATGTTTTTATACCTTAGTATCTCTCTCTTTGGTTGATTCTTCATCCAAAGTGCATGGGGTTTTATAGTTAATTTGAATTATTTGTTTTTCCTTCCTTTTTTTTTAATGCGCAAATGCACCATGCTGTGATGATATGTACGCAGATGTCTTGAAATCGGACGTTTTTCGATTTAATCTGTCCACACCAATAATTGACAGAATTGTTTCTCATCTAGGGTTGACTGTCTTTATCGAGATTTATACTGTGCACAAAACACGAAAGACGAGTCGGGCTAAGTACATTTTCTTGTTTAGCATACTGTACTCGATTCTGGAGTCTTTACCCCTCTACAATTACTAAGTACCTTGGATGATACTAACAACCTGCCGCTCTTGTCTTTTCCTCTGAGATGCACTTTCATAATGTTCTGTGTTTCCCTTCTTTGTATTTGGTCTGAATGCCTGAACCTTTTTTTTTATGGGTATGCGAACGTACAACAAACGAAGCATAGTTAAAAATTACAATTAGTTGATAAAAGGATTATTCTTTTTTTGTTTTGTGTAGGGAGGAATCATTGATATATTTAGAACAAGATGGATCAGAAGGGTGCGACAATGTGCGCTATAATGTCCCCGCCGTTTTTATCTTCTGTGAGAGAGCAAGACGAGCTTCAACCTGTTCGTATTCCAACCCCTTTTCCTGACTTGCTACCTAGAAATCAGAAGGATATCAAACAAATGTGCAGCTTGAACGAATCCCTGGAAACGGCTAAGAAGTATGTGGCCCCGCGTCGTGACTTGCCGCCACCCTACATCAATGATAAGGAGTGCGACGAGTTTGAAGACCAAACCATCGACTTGAGTATTCTTAATTTACCGGAAAAAGATCGCAGGGTCGTAGAAGGTGCGACAATTCCCTATACCTTTTCTGGGCCCTCCATTGAAGGGGAGACCACACCGGTTTTCGAGACGGGGATGCTCTACCGGGTGGTGGCCGCCGACGGCTCCTGGTACTACTACAACGACACGGATAAGTACGAAATGCACATCAACTTCACATTTGGTGCGAAGTCGGACCTCGATTTTAGCGAACAGGCGAATATTTATGTGATGAACAACAACGAGTTCTCGGCCTCACTGGTTGTCCCCCCTGGTGAGACATCTAAACTCCTCTCCGGTAAGGTGAGGGGCTTCAAATGCAGCGTCAAGGCGGTCCGTATCAATGACGAAAAGCGCGAGAACTTCTACAGCGAGGCGAGCTCCCGCATCAGCGAGGAAGTAAACGGTTTGATCAAGCGCATTAATGTTCCCGAGGAAATGCTTGACGAGGAGCGTGTGCTGCTTTACTGCGAGGAGAATGGACACCCCTACGTGGATTGCAGCTTCCCCCCGTCCGACTACTCCCTCTACCGCGCGGATGTAGACAAGTACCCGGTTCACTTTATCCCATGGCACCGCCCCTCGAGGTGGATTCCGCAGGACCAGCTTAAGGAGGTTCGGCTGTTTCGCCGTGAAATCTACCCCTCGCAGGTGTCGGACGGTTCGATTGGCGATACCTACTTCGCCTCCGCGGCGGCGACCCTCGCGGAGGTGCCGCCGGCCGTGTGGGATCTCTTCCGCCACCCTTTAAGTGCCTGCCATGGGAAGAGGGAGCGCGCCCTGGGGGCGTACTGGGTGACGCTCAACCTCAACGGCTGGTGGCTGCCGGTGCTGCTCGACGACTACCTCCCGGCGACGGCGGCGGGGCCGGAGGTGATGCGCTGCGGCGCGGATATCCGCCGCCTGTGGGTTTCCCTCCTCGAAAAGGCCTACGCGAAGGTCCACCGGAGCTACGCGAACATCGCCTGTGGGGACCCTTTGGAGCCGTTGACGGAGCTCACGGGCTTCCCGGTGACGCGCTTCGACTCCTTCTGGGCCGACGCCCAGGCCGGGGACGACTTCGTCTTCCAGGAGATGCGGCGCTACGCCGAGAAGGGGCAGCTGCTGGTGCTCTGCACCCCCTCCGGCCTCGAGGAGGCCCCGATGGAGGAGACCCTTCGTCGCCCGGATACCGGCGTGGAGGCGCGGTATGCCCGCCTCGGCCTTCGCCTCCACCACGGCTACACCGTCCTCCAGCTGGAGGAGGCCGGGGGGCGTCGGCTGCTCCGCCTGCGCAACCCTTGGGGGACCGGCGAGGAGTGGACGGGGGGCTGGGCGAAGTCGGATTCGAGCTGGACGACGGAGCCGGAGATCCGCGCGCAGTGCTACCGCGATGGTGGGGAGCCAAGCGATCCGGACGGGACCTTTTGGATGGAGTGGACGGACGCCGTCAACACCTTCGCGACAGGGGGCTGCTGCCATTACCACCGGCCGTGGTTTGATTATCGCATCCGCGGGGCCTTCGAAGGGGGCATCCCCAGCGTCGTCCTCGAGATCACCGTTGCGGACCCCACCACGGCGTACCTCGTCTTAACGCAGGAGGATGAGCGGGATAGCATGCCCGTGGAGTACAGCGCCATCCTCCTGCAGGTCTTCTGCCTCACCGGGCGAAAGCAGAAGCTGAATGTGATCACCGGACCGCTTGTGGAGAAGCCGGATCGTCAGCTTCGGTTCAGTTTCTCGCGGGAGGTCGGGCTGTGCTACACCTTCGTGCCGGAGCACAGCCCGTACTACGTCGTGCCCCGCATCCACGACACTTCTATCGCGCGCCCCTACGTCATCGGCTTTCTGCCAGACACCTACGTCGGGAATGGCATCCGGGTTGAGTTCAAGCGGATGGATCGGCATTGTAACGTGTTCAGCAATCTCTCCTCGTTCAATCCCAGCAATATGATCGAGGACGTTGCGGCGGAGTACCAGATTCGTAATCCTCGCCAGCCGTTGGAATGTGTGGGTACCCAGCTGAAGGACGAACGGCTGCGCGAATTCGGCTTGTTCGAGGAGTGACCTCCGGCGTGATTTTGGTCTATAAGTAAAAGGCAACGAGGTGAGGGGGAGGGGCAGGGGAGAGTGTGAAACACCTTGAATGCTCGGGCTTATTTTTCACAAATCTCTCTTCCCTTGGTTGCCGTGGTGTTTAGCATACCATGTGATGGGCTCCGTGAGTTGAGTTCAAGCTTAGTCTTTGACATTGTAAGAATATCTTTCTATAGTACTTTTTTCATATCTTTGACACTGGTTCATGTTTTTGGCGCCTGAATGTCATCTGGCGTGACTTTTACTTTTGTGCCGTTTGGTAAAACTTAGAAAGACTCTTTTTCATAAAGAGGTTCTTGAAATAAAGGCACAGCAAAAAATGATGATTTTTTTTTCAAAATTGTGAGTTTTATTCTACTGCTCAAGCGGTTTTGCAAATATAGTTTCTTTTATTATTCTATGTATAGTGTACCGGTGAGACAACGCTCGTAGCGCCTTTTTGGCGTTAGTTATTTAGAAATCGTTGAATGCTATTATGAGGTACTTTTGTTTTTCTGATGCATTGATGACGTTAGGGGGTTCAGCCGTAAATGCATTCGCTCATTTTGACGGATTTCAAATGTTGTTAAAATATACTTTCGCATTGCTGTTGTCCTTTGCTCAGAGGCGCATATAAAGCTATTTTAAAGTGGCAGTTTTTAATCATTTTATTGCGTTTCGATGATCTCTGACATCCACATATGCATCATCCAAATTAATGAATGGTAAAATGTCTCGATGAGAAGAACCTTATGTAGATAGCAACAACAGTAACAAAAACGGTCTCAATGCCGCTCTCTTCTAGAAGCATCCTAGATTGTTGCTTTGTGTGCTTTTTTTTCTTTTTAAACGTCACGCGATTTACTTTTGTAGCGAATGTAGAACAGCTCTCATTAATAATAACACAACAAGGGTGGATAGCATTGCGCAATCGTATTTGGTGTGTGGTTGTGGGGGGTCATGGATGCGCCTTGTAGGAGTTGTGCTCGGGCGGCGTCCGTCTCGCACCGGTGCCCCTCCAGCCGATCTTCCGCGCGTCGGCGTAGCGTCTCGCATAGGAAGCGGCACCCGGACGGGCGGCTCGCCTCGTCGACGTCGAAGGACCTGCGAATCTACGCCCCGCACGTGCCCGTCTTCCATCAGCTCTCGCCGGCGGTGCCGGTGGTGTTGGAGCCCTTCCCGAACTCCCGCCTCACCGCGTGGTGCCTGGCGGCGGGCACCATAATCACCTGCCACTCCAGCGGCCTCCGCCTCTACCAGGAGCAGCCGCTCCCGGACGAGGCCGCGAGCGGCGGCGTGGGGCTCGCCGCGCCGTCGTCGGGGATTTGGCGGCTGAAACAAAGCCGC